AATCCAAGAACGGTTGCAGCAGTATATTGACAGAGAACTTCCAGAAATGCAAGCTGGATTCAGAAGGGGATGTGGAGTGGGGGATATCATAGCTGATGTCAGATGGATCTTGGCTGAAACCAAAGAATACCAGAAAGATGTTTACTTGTGTTGTATTGACTGTGCAAAAGCATTCGATTGTTTGGGTCATGACAAATTGTGGATAACATTGTGAAGAATGGGAATTCCAGAACACTTAATTATACTCATGAGTAACCTATACATAGACCAGGAGGTTGTCATTTGAACAGAACAAAGGGATACTGCCTGATTTAAACTCAGGAAGGGAATGTGACAGGGTTATATCTTTTCACCATACTTACTCAATTTGTATGCTGACCAATAATCCAAGAAGATGGATGAAGAAGAATGTGGCATCAGGATTGGAGGAAAACTCATTAACAACCTGAGATACGTAGACAACACAACTTTGCTTGCTGAAAGTGAGCATGACTTGGATCACTTGCTGATGAAGATTAAAGACTACAGTCTGCTGTGTGGATTACCTCAATATAAAGAAAACAGAACTCCTCACAACTTGACCAATAAGCAGCATCACAATAAATGAAGACTGAAGTTGCCAAAGACTTCATATTACTTGGTTCTACAATCAATGCCAATGGAAGCAGCAGTCAAGACATCAAAAGACGTACTGCATTGGGCAAATCTGTTGCAAAAGGCCTCAAGCAAAGATGTCTCTGAAAACTAAATGCACCTAACCTAAGCCATGGTATTTTCAATCGCCTCATATGCATGTGAGAGCTGGACAATGAATAAGGAAGACTGAAGAAGAGTCAATGCTTTTGAGTTGTAGTGTTGGCGAAGAATACTGAAAGTATCATGGACTGCTAAAAGAACTAACAAATCTGTCCTGAAGAGGTGCAGCTAGAATGCTTCTTGGAAGGGAGAGTGGTCAGACTTTGTCTCACCTACTTTGGTCATGTTGTTAGAAGGGACCATTCTCTGGAGAAGGATGTCATGAAGTGGAGGGTCAATGTAAGAGGGGAAGGCCCTCAACAAGATGGATTGATACAGTGGCTACAGCGATGGGCTCAGATATAGTAGGGATCATGAGGCTGGCACAGGATTGGGTAGTGTTTCGTTTGTACATAGGGTTGCTATGAGTCAGAGACAACTCGATGGCACGTAACAACAACAACTCTTTTCTAAGGGCTCGCTATGGAATCCACTCAACAGCAGTGTGTTGGGTTTGGTTTGCCTCAAAAAAAGGAGAACAACAGTCTTTTTCCAAAGAATTCCAGCCTAAAAACCTGTTGTTGTTGTTGTTGTTATGTGCCGTCGAGTCGGCCCCAACTCACAGCGACCCCTCCTTGGGTTTCCGAGGCAGTATCACTACGGAAGTAGGATTGCCCAACCTTCCTTCCAAGGAGTGGCTGGTGGGTTTGAACCGCCAGCCGTCTGGTTAGCAGGCAAGTGTCTTAGCCACTATGCTACCAGAGCTCCTATGTGGCTAAAATACTGATCAGTGCAAGGCAAAATAAAAATGTGTTCACATATGTAAGATCTCAAAAAATGTATCCTCCACCTGTCCTGAAAAGAAAGAGTGAGGAAGCAGAGAAGGCACGGAAGGAGGATAAAATACCCAGCAGAGGGCGTGTCGGGTGTGAGGACAGCATTCCCATTGCAAACCCTGAACAGGACTCAATAGACACAGAGATGTGAGTGTTCTAGATGGATGGGAAAGGGGGCGGTGCTGGCTGAGGGTCCGGAGAGTAAGAAGACGAAATCCCCATCATCACAAACAGAGAGTAAGTAGACTTCAATCTGGGCAAAGTCAAAACACTGCACTATAACCATGAGATTTAGAATATGAAGGTAAATACTGGGTGACGTAGGGGGAAAGAGTGGAGTACCTAGAAATCAGGAATCGGGGTGGCCAACGACTGCTGTAGTCAGTTCTGTTTCTCATGAGCTTTTTAGATCTGTGTGACTTTTTAGATATAAGCATCATTTTTTTAATGGTATTATGAGGCAAAGAGCTGTGAACTTCTAACCATGGTTTCTCTCCTCAGGGTGAAGTCCAGGGAGAGGGTCTCAGAGTGACAAAGAAGATGCTGACTCTCCCGGAGAGCACAGTGATGGCCTATCAGAGGAAGCAGCTGGTGATCATGGTGGATGGCTGGGGTAAGCAGAGGCCAGGCAGGTGGGGAGGGGAGTCCCAGAGAAGGGAAGCAAGAAGAGAAAGATCATTAACGTACAACCATTTGCCGTTTTTCCTGTTGAGGGAGTAGGATGTACCAGGGTACACACATCCACCACCTACCCAAACCACCTACAAAGCAGGGCCTAACTAAAATGTTGCTTGTAGGGGAGACACAGAGGCAACCTACCTAGTGGAGACAAAAGAGGTGCCCCACTTGGAGGTCTCCTTCCTTCTGAGCAATGTATGCCTCTTACCCCAACCATCACTACTGATTCCAGCACCCACCACTCTCAGCGGCTCACCTGAGGGAACACAGAGCTCTCCCCAGATTACCCGTCACCCTGTTTCACAGCCCATAAGGTACCAGCCCAATCACAAGGCTGCAGATGGTCATCTACCTCTCCCTCCCAACGAGCCTCGAAATGCACAGTGCCACACACACTTGGGGGTCACACTCCACGTGGGTGTCAGCCTTCTGCTGCATGCCTGGAAGAATGGTGGGCACAGGAACAGGACCAGCTCTCCTTCCCCAAATGCTGAGTCCCAGCCAGAACTGGGGCCCAGTTCCTCCAAGATAAGGCAATACCCTCAGCACAGACACTAACACACACACACAAATTTTATCCTCAAGGCAGTATCTGGCACAGGACCGGGTGGGGTCGCATTCTGCTATACATAGGGTTGCTATGAGTCAGAGACAACTCGACGGCACCTAACAACAACAACATTTACATTGTGGTCTTGCACAAAGGCAAAATCTCTCCAGGTGAAATATGAAACACCCAAGATGCCAACGGGATTGGGAGAAGGTGAAGCAGGGCAGTAAATCAAAGGGCAGTCCTATGTGATGAGGGAGGGAGGAAGCCAGTTTCCTTCACCTGATAAGGCAGTTCTTAGGTGGCAAAGTGTAAAAATGGGTCCCCCTCATGAGACTCTGATTGAGAAGACAGAATGAGGCCAGGGCAGGTGCGTTGCAACAAGCACCCCAGGTGATTTTCACGCTAGGGGTCAGGCCACACTGAGAAAAGCTGCCACCATGTCCTGGAAGAGGAATGCCAGGAGGCTTTAGGTACAGGGCACGTGAAATGCTCCCCAGAGGAATAACTTGGCCCTCCTAACCTGTCTTCTTCCCCATCCAGTCATTCTTCACAACTCAGAGGATGATGAACAGAAAACTTTCCAAGATGAACTTCCCGAGCCGATAGGTTCTCTCCTAGCCCCGGGATCCTGCTGAGCCCTGGCCCACCCTGGATGACCCCAAAGAGCCTCTCTGTGGGTGTGGGGTTAGCCCCCACAGACTCACTGAGAATCCTTCCCAGCCAGGCTCCTCCACTGCCTCCCAGCCTTCCCGGCCTCCAACCCAGCCACAGGCTCCTGGGGCTACAGGGAAACTACCCTTCTCCTTGCAACCCTCGGTTGGATGTGGGGTGGTGGGCTGCCTAGGGCTCCATTTCTCTCTGGGATTCCTAGATTTTGTTTTGATTTGCAGAAGTCTCTTCAAGAGGGGCAGGTAAGAGGCCAGAATGGGGGGGAGGGGATATACAAGGAGGATGGAAAGGGTACGGGGGAGACTAACTTATGTTTAGTGAGTTAGCACTTTGGTTTCTCTTTCCAGTAATAGAAATGGACATCCAATTAGGTGAGCAGATGTTGTGGAGTCATGAAAATGGAATCTGATGCCTCCACCCTGCCACTTTACATGCCAGGTCACAACCAAAAACCCACCTCATTGTCTTTGCTGCCAATACCCAAGGCCTTGGCATCTGGTCTCCTGGGCAAAGGTGTGATGGAGAAGAAGGGGTCAGGGAAGGAGGATGGCAAAACCAAGTATCCTTTGAGACTGACTTGAGTTGAAGGGGACTGAATTTCTACTTCCAACCTACCCAGGAGTGTGTGGATGCTGGAGGCAGAGAGTGGAAATCTGATGGGATGAGCAGGGAAGGTTGCCAGTGCCTATGCCATCCCTGCCCTATGGCCTTGGCTCCAATTTCCTGTGGAATAGGAAAAAGCCAGGATGCAATAGGGACGGGAAGGGGCTGGATGGAATGTAAAGGGTCCAGGACAGCCTGAGGAGGTAGAGGGATGGATAGGGTGGGGGCAGGAAGAGGTTAAGTGAGATGGAGGAGGTGGTGGGCAGGCAGAACCTCCAAAATGTCTCAAAGGCAAATTGGGGGAGGGATGACAAAGGGAGATGATCCTTTATGATTATCTTTCCAAGAGGAATATAGGAATCTTTTCCTCAAAATGAGTATTTATTAACAGGGAATCTGGGGCTGCTGGGTGGGAAACTACAAGGCTGAGTATCCAAGTGGAGGTTTCCATGAAACTCACAAAATGGAGATCTACTTCCAAATTTGTCTCTTTTTTCAACCCACTTACTAATCCATTAGTGAGTGCATGCAGGCAATAAATATTGATGGGAACTACTGGACCACAGACACTATTGTGGGCACTGGGGATGCGGTCAAGAACAAAGCAGACAGAAAGGCCCCACTCTGAAGCTTCCATTCTTGTGATCTCTGTCTCAGCAGATCACCTTGAGGTCACTTGAAGTCTCCCAGAAGAGTCAGAGAACCTCCAACATCCACCCATCAATTAATTTTTACTATTATTTGGTACAAATATAGGTAACACAACATTTGCCAATTCAACATTTTTCACTTGTACAATTCAATGAAACCAGTTAATCATGGTGTATAACCATCACTGACTTCCACTGTCCTATTTCCCATCTCCATAAAGCCATGCTCATTGCAATTACACGATAATAAGGGTAGCTCATGTGTGGCAGCCAATATCCCAAACACATTACATACATGAAGTCATTCAGTCATCACAACATGGAACATTTATTAAAACAGATGTGGAAACTCAGCCCAGAGCAACTAAAAACCTCACCCCAAAACCTAATTCTAGAATTTCCATTATTCCTGACATTTCCTGCAAATGAGCACTTGGACATTTTCTTCCCCTTCCAATGATGCCTTTTCAGAATCTCCAACTGCATTCTCCCTCCTCATGCAGAGGACTGAGACTGTCCATCTTTCCTGCCTATGATGGTATCTCCATCCCCAGAGCTTAAGCATGACATTCACAGAGACACTTTTAGTCAGTGGCTGAAAGGCATAGAGGAGGTTGCCTCATATTGGAGGGTAGGGGCTTATTATCCCAGGGATGGGTTAACCAATGAATCGTCCCATTTTCTGGTTGGTATTGATGCCTGAGGGCAGATTTCAAGTGTCTACAAAAGGAGATTTCCCAGGAAATGGAGGTACTGGCCAGCTTCCCAAAGAACCTTCGGGACATCATATTCCATAATATTCTGGCCATGCTGGGGGACAGAGGAGCTTTACAGGATCTGATGGATATGGTAAGGGGGTTGGTCCCATGGCTGATCAGGGCTTACGAATGCTGGAAAGTGGGCAGGCTTGGAGATATGGATAGCAAGATACATGGGGGAGGAGGAATGGGAAAATGCCAGGGAGATGAGAAGGGAGGTCTGAGATCAGGGTCTCTGATTCCAGGTACAATAACCAGGCCCACAGAGTGCACCCCCACAAACTGACACTGCTGGACATTCCCTGGGGGAGGTAGACAGCCCTCACCTTCCACACCTTGGTTAATCACTTACAGACACAAAAGACAAAGGTAAAATCACATAATAGTATTTTTATTATTATTGCCAATAATACTTGTCTCCTATAGATGGAAGAGAACTCTTCTGGTCATTTGGATGGCCCTGGTGGTACCATCCTAAATGAACTTCAAGAGAATACTAAAGATCTCCTGGTCAGCCCAAAGTATTGCATCCTTTACATTCTTGGAGCCATAATGGGTAAGAGTGACTTGGGGGAAGAAAGGGAGAGTCACAAGGGTGGTAGGTCAGACCCCTTGAAAAGATGCATTACAGAGAAGCCCTCAAATAGTGTGATCTTTCATCCTCACATCACCCCTCTATCGCTGAGGTCAGGAGGGCTCAGTGTGAAAAACTAGTTATGTGACACTAGCCCGAGACATGGAAAGTGACTGATCTATGTCCATCCAACACATCACTGAAGGTGAATCATTCCAGGCTCCAGCTTCATCCTGGAGACCACTGCCAAGAGCAGAAGGAAGTCTTCCCAGGGCTGGGAACTTGATCTGCAAGTCGAATGGGTTTTATTCCTCTCCCTCAGGGTTCTCTTCTCACTTATTCTACTAGTTTGCTGTGGGGAGAAGAAAATCTGGACTTTTCATCACTGTGTTTCCCCAAATGTCTCCCCACCCACAGTGCTGAGTGACACCCAACATGATCTTCTGGCCCAGTCCATGGAGATGAGAATCCTAGCCCAGCAGAGGGAGCTGGTAAGAAACCCCTGGGGCCAGGAGCACAGGGAAGATGGTGAAGGCCAGGAGACAAGGAGGATGATTCTGAGAGAGAAGATACAGGTTCCACTGGGAGGGGAGACAGGATCCCAGGACAGTACTGGGAAATGCCCTGCTGCAACCTGCCTTGGGAGAGCAGGTAGAGTGGGTTTGAGGTCTGAGTCGACCTCAGGAAGGTCTTGATTTCCTAGGCAACTCCTGCAATGGGCTCCAACAGTTCTAAATTAGCCATAGGAACACAGGTTCTTGGGAGCTAAGAGTATGTGGATAACACCTCTGCTTTTGTTAACATTTGCAAACTTCTGTTTCTCTCCATATAAGTGTACATAAAAACACATACTAGACATAAACAAATACATATACATGCACATACATATATACACTATATATTTCAAACACTGACCACTATTCTGCAAAGTAAATCTTATTATTACAACTTTGTAGCTAAAGACCAAGGCTCAATAATTTCCAGTAACTTGCCCAAGATCACACTGATCATGACATGACCGGGATGTGACTTGTGGTTCCCCTGACACAAATCTCTTGCCCCTTCTGCCACCCTACATGGTCCTTGGCTCTTTGTTGTCGTTAGGTGCCATTGAGTCATCTCCAACTCATAATGACTCTCGGTACAGCGAACGAAACACTGCCCAGTCCAGTGCCAGCTCCGTGATCCCTGCTACACCTGAGCCCACTGTTGCAGCCACTGTGTTACTCCATCTTGTTGAGGGCCTTCCCCTCATTTGTTGACCCTCCACCCTACCAAGCATGACATCCTTCTCCAGGGAATGGTTCCTTCTTACAACATCACCAAAGTAGATGAGATGAAGTCTGCCCTTTCTTGCTTCCAAGGAGCATTCTGGCTGCACTTCCTCCCCGGCAGATTAGTTCTTTCAGCAGTCCTTGGCTCTTGGACAGTTTTTTCCTTCCTGACTTCAAAGGCCAACTTGTACGATCTGACAATGTTTCTTCCAGGTGAGAGACATCCTAGAGACAAACTTCACATACGCTCAGAGCACTCCCTTCACCCTCAAGGCTGAGCTCCTTGCCCCACTCCAGGGTGAGGCTGCGGCCATTACCCATGGCCTGCTGGAGGAGTGCGGCCTGACGACAGGGCTGAAGAGCCTTGAGCCGACTGGGGACTTGGAAGCCAACGGGCCTCTGTGTGCTCTCTACGGGGCCCTCTCGGTGCTGCAGCAGCTGGCTGATCCCTAAGCTCTCCCTCAAATACGCAGTCAGTCCAGAGGGGCCTGGCCCCACCACAGGTCTATGCTGAGTGTCCCCAGTGGTCTCGGGAAACACGGCGCCACACCTATATGCTTTTTCAGGTGGACAGGGACAGGGATTGGCTAGGAGGAAACTTGAGGGAACCTTTTGGAATGAGGGAAATATTTTGTATATTGATAGAGGTTGATACAGTTCACAAAAGTCATCAAACAGCATGTTAAGGATTTGAGCATTTCACTACATTGTACATTTTGCTTCAAAACAATGTAAGCAAATCATGAACTCTAATTAGTAACATGCCTTCTGAATCCTTTGGGTGATGTACTGTTTGTAACTTACTTTGGAATGCATCAAAAAATAAGGTGGTTGAGAGACAGGTTTGATATGGGAGAAGGGATTTCAAAAAAGAAAAAGATTAGCCGTTTTTCAAAAAGCTGATAGTTTTTGAAGCTAGGTGTGGGCACATGGGGGGTCTTCTGTACTAGTCTTTGTCTCTGTTTGAAATATTTCATGAAAGAAAAAATTAATAATAAGGTGGTTGGATGGATAGATAGGTAGATAGGTGACCGAGCAAACGTGGTAAAATGGTAGTAACTGGAGAATGTGGGTAAAGGATGTTTGAGAGTTCTTTTTTATTCCTGAAATGTTTTATAAGCCTGAAATGTTTCAAAATAAAGAGTTACCAAATACATACAGTCAGTTCTCATTATTGGTGATAGTTAATACCATCTAGCAGCCTAAACTGAAACCTGGCAGCTACCCTGATGCCTCCCTTTCCTTACCCCACAGCCACACTCCTCCAGCCTGTCCACCACAACCCTGCTCACTCTCCCCTGGACAGCTGTGCCAGCCCTCCAAACTGGTTTTCCTGGCACAAGTCTTGTTCTCCTCAAATCCATCCTTCATACAGCAAAACACAAATGCAATGCAAGGCGGTATCACTACTAAAGTAGACTGCCCAACCTTTCTTCCAAGGGACGGCTGGTGGGTTTGAACCTCCAGCCTTCTGGTTAGCAGAAGGTTAGGCACTACGCCACCAGAGCTCCCTTCATACAGCAGCCATGGGGAATTCATCCAAAGGCAACCCCCGTATGCCATTTCCCAGCCTAAAACACTTTCAGTGGTGCCCTACCATCTACAACCAAGGTTCCAAAGCGGATGACTCACCAGAATGGCCTCGGACCCCACAGCCACGTGGCACCAATCCAGCGAATCTGAGTGCTCCCCCGTTCACCCCAGTCTCCTTCTTCCCTGTCTCTCCCTTCATGTTCTCATTCTGAGACACTGTTTAGTCACTCTCCACTTAAAAGGTCAGGAAATGAATGCATTCACACTAATCCCATCGTGGCTCTCCCTCCATCTCCTGATTTCCAATTATTTTGTTATTGGTACAACACCAAAGTTTGTAACAACATTCCCCATGGTTGTTGAGTGTTGTTGTTGTTGTTGTTATGTGCTGTTGAGTCAGACCTGACTCACAGTAACCCCTCCCTATGTTTCCGAGACAGTACCACTAGGAAGTAGATTGCCCAACCTTAGTTCTTGATTTAAATTGAGTCAGTGTTAATGACCAGTCCTTTCCTCCCCTGGATGGCTGGATTCTGTTATCCAGCAGTTTCCCCGAGCAATTCGTTCCCTGAGTTCCCTGATGCTTGAGAAAGGCTGCCTCTTGCGCTTATACCTGAAGAACAACTTGAGAAGATACTACATTCTTGCCTAACACTCTCTTGACCTCAGTCTTTTGCAGAAACGCAAATGTCTCCTGCTACTGAATGATGTTGTGGGGAAGTCTAAGGCTGTCAAATGCTCTCCCCTCTGCAAATGAACTTCTCTTTGTAAGTGGATGCCCACAGAATTCTTCCTACAGCCTGTATGTCAGTCATGCTACGGAACTTTTCCTGGGACCCCACCTAGTGAGCTGCAGACATAGTTCTTTCCTTGCAGGGAAAATTTCTTGTATCATTTTTCACAGTCTATTTATTGGATTCTCTATTTCACAAATACCAATTATCCCTTTGGGTCCTCCACATATATTTAATGTCTATATTCTTTTTCTTTTGCATGCAAGATCATGGGGGTCTTTATAACTCCCCTCTCAACGTAATTATCATTCTATTTTCTTCCTAATTTATGTATTATTCAGAAATTGTCTTGTTTTAAATCTTTGACTTGTTTCCTTAGTTTTGCAATCTCCCTCTTCATTTAATTCTGGGTTTGTTTGTTTGTTTGTTTGTTTAAATCTTCTCTTCCTTGAGCTCTGGCTTTACTGAGGCATTTCTCTTAAAATTCTTTCACAGCACAGAACAATTAAGACACTAGCTTTTCTTCCTTGAGCAATGTTTTCTACCTGAACTACCACTTCTGGAGTGCTGTGCAATGGGTTTTTCCCTCCTAGTGTATCTGAATAGATGCCACTTCTCCTCCCCTCCACTATACTGCTTACCCCAAGGCCAGGCACCAAGGTCCAAATCCTCTATTTGCATGAAAATAGTGAAGTAGGTGAGTATGAGATTTTTGTTTGTTTGTTTGTTTGTTTGTTTTGGTTTGGTTTTCTTACTTCCTCTCCACCTTACCTGAGCTCTGGTAGCATAGTGCCTAAAATACTTGACTGCTAACCAGAAGGCTGGTGGTTCAAACCCCCCAGTCACTCCTTGGAAAGAAGGTTGGGCAATCTACTTCTGTAGCGATATTGCCTCAGAAACCCAAGGAGGGGGTCGCTATGAGTCAGGTCCAGCTCGACGGCACATAACAACAATGACAACAAGGTTTGAAAGCTACATTTTCTGGAGCCTGGGATCACAAGGTATGGAAGGTGAGGGGCACTTACCTGGGCACTGAGTAGTGCTGGCAGTCAGAGGGCACCTATCTTGTCTTCTATGGATTTGCTAAATACCCTTCACCTGAGTTCCTACCTCCTCCATGAAAGGCAGCTGCATCCCCAGTAGGGGACCCTCTTCAGTCCACCCTGTGTTCCCAGCTTCCAGGGGGCAGCCTCAGGAGCTTTCGCTTCCTTGAGAGAGTTCCCCTGCTTGCTGGGGGTGGGGTGGGAAGAACGCCTGGCTCCGGACCAGGGCCCCGGCTCCCTCCCTGGGAGAACCCGCTTACAGGTGTGATTGCTGCTTTCATTTCTACAGCTGTGCTTCCCCGAATGCTTTCTGTTTTCAATGTCACCGCTCTTCCTAGAAGCCATATCCAGCCTTTCCCACTCCCAGATCCCACCTTCCCTACTCCCAATGTCCTGACCAAGCAGATGACAGAAAAAAATTACAAAAACTCAAGGGCCTGTCAGCCTTCTTACAGAAGATTTTGTATTCCCTCGTGTTAAAATTCTCCTGGTGGTCTTGGTCCTCTAATGTTGCTTTGACAGACATACGACAAGTGGATGGCTTTACAAAGAGGAATTTATTCTCTTACAGTTTAGGTGGTTAGAAGTCCGAATTCACAGTGCCGGCTCCAGGGGTGGGGTGAAGGCCCCCCGACCTTGGGCTTCACCTCTGCCTCTAGCTCCTGGCCCACTGGAGCTGCAGGCATCTAACTCAGGCAGCTGCTGGCTGCTGAGGCTGACAAGCCCAAAGTCGGCCCAGCAGGTAAAATGGCACAATCCCAATATCAGCAGGCAACACGGCAGGCCACTGGTTCAAGTCCAAGAATTGGAGATGAAGACTCGGCCAAATGCCAGATGAAAATGTGCCAAAAGCTAGAGACGCTTCTCAAAGCTTCTGCAGGGTACATCCTGAAGGCAACTCCTTAGCTGTTCACAGCACATTCCACCGTGGAGCTGATACAGTTTCCTCATGTGGAATAACTACAACCAGCTGCCCAGCCAAGATGACACACAACCTTAACCACCACACTGGTGGCGTTTGTGTTTGCTTTGAGAGCCATGCTTTGAAAATCTGGATGTTTAGGATTCATCTGTCTCTTCTCTTTCCACTCTGAGTAAAGACAACAGAAAAACAGGAGAGAAAAGATAAGAATTCTACAAGAGCAATTCAGGAAACCCAACATCTAAGACAAGTTCCAAAAAGTTGTGGGGTGAGGGGGGAAGAGGAGGAGAGAAAATCATCAATGAAATGATTCAAAAGCATATCCCCGAACCAAGATAGGAGATTCCAGATTCAAAGAGCCCATCAGGTGTCTGACACAAGCGGGTAAAAGAGGGTCCAGACCAAAACACCTTTCCGTGGCATTACAGAACATCAGAGATGAAGCGGAAATTCCTGGGGGGGAAAAAAAGGTTATTCTTAAAAGATCCACATGAAACTGATTTGATCAACAACCACACAGGCAACTGAACACAAGGGAGCAATGTGATGCAAAATTTTGGAAAAAAAAATTTCCAAACTAGGATTCAGCATCACATTTGAGGATAGAATAACAAGTTTTCAGACAAATTCTCAAAAAATTTACTTCCCATGTTCTCTTTACCCCAAAAACTGTAAGAGGATATGAGACACCAAAATGAAAGAGAAATCCAAGGAAGAGGAAAACAGAGGATACCAGGAAATGGAAATGTTACAAAGAGAGACAGCAAATTCTCAGGATGTCCCCAAGTACCTACAAGAAGGCAGCCAGTTCCAATGGGAGCAGGTGGAAGGCAATAGGGGAGATTTTTCCAGGAAGGTTAAATTGACAGAACCTCTTCAATCTGAGTATATTACAAGGAGAGGTAAGCACTGATAGAGTTTGAATTTAATTAGACATAAGCACAAAAAATAGGAAAAAGGAAGAAAGGATACTGTAGAAACAAAACAAAATCCCACAGGAAAGGAAAAACAACCATGGTTTACTAAATAGCTTATCTCGGAATCGCATTTATGTTCATGATAATAGTAATATTGAACTAATCAAAGTACAATGTAATTGCTGAGAGGAAGGGAGTGGAAAGAGTGCATGGGTAGAGTCAGAAGGGATTGAGGGGAGACCTAAATCCTTATCTTCATGAGGTAAATTGCTAAATAATGCCTATAACTGAAAACTGACAAGCT